TATATATATATATTTATTTATTTATTTATATTTATATTGTTGAAGGATGTAACGTTGAAAAAGATAAGTGCGCGCGTTAAGCAGATACATTGAGTGTGAAAGTACGAATAATGAAATTCATCTCAAAAGAATTTAATATATAGCTTCTTAACTACCACATTAAAAAATTAAGTATCTATATTTGTCCATACCAGTAACCCCACTTTCAGGATTTGACACCACAGTCATGAAGACGTCACCATATAACTAGATCATGATAAGCTTTTCTTTACGTTAATTGATTCTATAATTATTTTACGTCTCTTGTTTATTAAACATATATTATTTGGGGGTATTTATTGTGTTCTATTCAATATTTTAATCAGTTAATAATAACAAGTCTTAAATAATTTTAATATATTAATAGAATAAATATTTTTATTAATTTTTTTCTTAATATATATTCTAAAAAAATTCGTTATTTTCTTATTGTATTTGTCTCAAGTTTGTATGACGTATCTTAAATTTGAACTATTTTACTGAAACTGCTATCCCTCGGACACTTTTCAGAAATTATTATCCCTTCATAGAAACAGCTATCCAAACTCTTCACTACAAACATTCCCTCGCTCTTTCCTTTGTTTTCTTGTGTAAAAAATGATAAGGTATTATTCCCTTCTATATAAGTTGTGATAACTAAGACCTAATGATATCAAACTATTAACCATTCAAGAAATCATCATTTTCACCATTATAAGAGGGAATGATACATCTGGCGTGTATAGAAGAACAAAAGTTAAGAAATGCCAGTCTTATAAATAAATCTTCATATTTTAAAAGATATAGCCTCTAGTTCTGGTTCGGAGGTACTTGAAAAAAAAATGATACTTTTAATAAGTATTTGATGAAAGATCAAATGAATTTTTATTACATATTTACATATCGTTATTAGCATGAATGAAAACATAGCCACGTATCGTACGTAATGCTGATGCACCATATATTTACAATGGAAAATTTATTCAGAATAACAGGGGCACTATATATTATCATATATACCCATTTTCTCAAAACGTCATTTGAGACTCAAGTAAAAGAAAAACACTTTTTTTCAATATGGGTCACCAAACATATTTTATCGAATATTTATCACTGTCAATGAAAATCTATATATTAACATCAGATAGTGTAGATTGTTATTATCCAAACCTTCCATATATGATAATAAAGACACTGAATCCACAGGAAAAAAGGACAGCATAACCCTAAACTAACCCTACTTTTGTACTAATGAATATAAATAAACAATTAAAATATATTGGCAATAGTTAAGCTATCGAATTACCATGTGTTGGGTTCATGCACGTGGGTCTGATTGAATAATTTGGTCTACCACGTATATCCAATGATGATGACACACGTGCGCAGCATAGTTCATCAGTGGGGACAAAGGTGAAGCAAAAAGGAAAAGAGATAGAATGAAGAATGGGATGAGAAATCATGTATCTCATTTGCCATGTTTCTTCATTCACTATTTTTTGCTTATTGGTTTTTATTTTTATTTTTTATTTTAAATTGTGGCCCATTTTCTTAAAGGATTGTCTACCAAAGGTGGAACATAACTCCTTCAATTCTGATAAAATGAGAGGCCATAATCCATAACAGGTGCTTCCCTGGCTTCTCCTATGGCCATGCATATCCTCCATTATATGACCCTAAGCAAAATACAGTATATCTCATTTCTAATGAAACCATGAAATTAATGTATAAAAGTGGACGGTGATTCTTATCTTATAAACCCATTTTATATAGTTGAGTTAGGTTAAAAGCTATTTCCTTAATATTAAAATTTATTTTAATAATTATTATTAGATTATATCTCTTATTAAAAGATGTTTCAAACCTATAAACTCCACTTTTGAGATTTTTAATTCTCTATTTAAAGAGAATGTATTACAGATTTTACAATTAGTGACATGATTAATATATATATATATATATATATATATATATATATATATATAAATATATGTGAAGAATTTTTTTTTTTATGTGATTTTTTTGAG